TAACAACATTTTTATGATGTATGGAATTATTTTTATGGTTTAATACTATATTTTTTGTTGATTACTATTTAATTAATTGTTTGACAATCGAAAAATGCTGACAACTAAATATTGGAACATATTTAGCTTTGCCTTAGGTTTCTTGAGTTTTATCAGCCTAACGCGAAGGAGGCTTTGAAATGAAACATACGAGTAAGTAGTGTGTTATCAACAATAATTGTCACGCGTCATTTGAGTACTAATAATTAACAACTGTCAGTTTTATTAAGAGTAAAATACAATGATGGTACGTGGAAAACCTACTGATCCAAAAGTGCGAGAAATTATTAATCAATACCATAAAGGAAAAACAATGCGTGAAATTTCCAGTGAATTGAATATAACAACTACTGTGTTTAATATAATTAAGAAATATGGTGAAACTGCCAGTATTGATGTTCGGGGTAAAAGCTCAGGCCGTCCAAAAGCGGTTTCTCAAAGAAGTGTAAGGCATTTAATTAGAATATGTAAGTCGGGAAGAAGAAATACACTACGAGAAGTAACTACAAGGTGGAATAGAGAAACTGGGATGAATGTTTCCATAGAATGCTGTCGCAAATATATCCACAAAAGCGGTCTTAGTTTTTATAAGGTATGTTTAATAGGTTCTTCTTTGCGGTATAAATTTTCTAATTTTTAAATTATTCGAATAGGCCAAAAAAACCATTGTTAACGGAAACTCAAAAAAGGAATCGTTACATTTGGGCCAAATCAAAACTTTCGTGGACCAAACATAACTGGGACCAAGTAATCTATAGCGACGGAAGCAAATTTGATATCTGTCTGGGAAATTACCGAAAGCGTGTGATTCGGGAAAAAACAGAAGCATTCCATAAGGATTGTCTCAAGAGAACTGTAAAGTTTCCGCAGGGCATCATGGTTTGGGGTTGTATGTCAGCCAAAGGGTTGGGAACTTTACACTTTATTGAAGGCATAGTAAACACAGCCAAATATCAAGATATTCTTGAACATTTGCTTTGACCAAGTGCAGCAAAGTTATATCCATCCGGAGATTTTATCTTTCAACAGGACGGAACCTCATGCCATACGGCTAAATCTACTAAAAAATGGATGGGAGAACATGACATTAAAGTTTTGTCACATCCCTCTAGCAGACCTGATCTTAATCCAATACAGACACTTTGGCACAAAATGAAACAACGCCTGAGAAATAATCCAGCGTACTTTACCACAACTACGTGCTAAATTGCAAGAAATATGGGACAGTTTCACCCCTGAATTCTGTGAAGGCCTGGTTGGTACAATGCCTAATAGAGTTTAGGCTGTTATTCGAGCTAAGGGCGACGTTACACCTTATTAATTTTTATTTTAATTGGTTAAAAAGCATTGTTCCAATATTTAGTTGTCAGCATTTTTTGATTGTCAAACAATTAAATAGTAATCAACATAAAATATAAAATTAAACCGTAAAAATAATTCCATACATCATAAAAAATATTGTTAATTTTATATTTACATTAAAAAAAAATAGAATAAAAGAATTTCGGCAAATTGGCATTTTATTCGTAAAATAACTGCTTGTTCCAACATTTAGTTGTCAGGGCTCGTATTAGAAATTAAAAATTTAAAAAAACAGACTTCAAAAACGTGCAGATGCCATCACAACATCTTAACTAAATTTATATGGGACCACTCCTGAGGTACCCCCTTACTAACAAAAAAATAATCATATAAATCGGACAAGGTGGTAAAGCATTATCGCTAAACATACATAAAAAATGAAGAGTTTGAGGATTTCCGCATGTATCCAATTATTAGATTTTGACCAAATTTATATGGGACCACCCCTGAAGTAGCCCCTTTCTAACAAAAAAGAATTATTGAAATCGGACACCGTGCTAAAGAATTATCGCTGAACATACATAAAAAAAAAATATCGCGACGAATTGATAACCTCTCCTTTTTTTAAGTCGGTTAAAGATTGTGCGTCCTGAATTGTGGATGTGTAAGGACAATAGTTAGTGGTGACTTTATTGTTTTCGGATGCGCTTGTCAACATTCGTATAAGTTCGAAGTTTTTTAAGATTAAATATTTAATATCATCGTCATCTAAACCTTCTAAAACGGTAATTTCTAATGCATCTTCCATATTATGTACTATTATAAACAACAAATTTAAATAATGTTAGAAATATGTATAAGGAGAAGAACTATAATGTCAAAATTTCAGGTTTGCAGTAAGTCTTATTTTAGCATGGAATTTATTTGCCTCTAATTACGTTGTCACTATTAGTGGCTGATGTTATAGACTATATCTCTATTCACTATCTAAAGTAGGCTTTTGCGCTTCGAAATAAAACCGTAAAGTTGACGTTTTCCGCGAACTGACATTTATTGACAGCTTCGTCGCTCGTCGGGCGATAAAACTGACAGCTTTGTTGCTCGCCTAAATTAAATTAGGTATAATATATTTCTTTTTAATAAATTATTTTCAAGCTACACACATCAAAAAAATCTAGGGAACAAGGATTAAAATTGTTATAACTCGTTTGAGACACAAGGTATTATACTGAAAATCTCTGTAGATATTTTTGATACCTTTTTGTTCACAATGTACATGATTTTGAAGGTTTAGCAATTGATCAAATGTGCGTAAAAAATATTTGTCTTTTATCGATAAAAATAGCATATTAGTTTCTTTTGGTTTTTGCTTCTACAAAGAAATTAGTGTTTAGTTTAGTTGTTCATGATGGAAAGACGACATTTAAACCGCGACGAACAATTGAGAGCAGTAGGGATGGTTGAAGAGGGCCAAAATTATAGAGCAGTAGCGGAGGTCCTTAACACATCAGCTACTGTGATTTGTCGATTGATGACAAGATACCGTGAAACCGGGGATGTTAGAGTACGACATACTGGTCGTAAGAGAGCAACTGACCCTCTACATGATCGTTTTATTCGATTACAGGCACTACGAGATCGAACTGTCACAGCAGGTCAGTTAGCAAATCAGTTATACCGCACACACCATATTGCTGTGAGCAGCTAGACTGTGAGAAACAGGTTGCACCAGTTCAACCTTTATGCTCGCAGACCACTCCGTGTTCCCCCGTTAACAAGAGGTAATCGCGCACAAAGACTAGGATGGGCACAAGAACATCAACACTGGAGACATCAAGAATGGTCTACGGTACTTTTTACAGACGAATCCCGATTCGGTTTTCATCCGGATTCACATCGACTTCGTGTGTGGAGACGACCTGGAAAGTCTTGCCGCAGCCCAGGAAGTCTACAGCTACCAGGGTGGTACAATAATGGTGTGGGGGCGTATGCGTGTCGGAGGAAGGACTGACCTCGTTTTATTAGACGGCTTTGTGAATGCTACCAGTTATCGTGACAGTATTTTGGAACCTGTTGTGCTTCCATATGCTGCAGAATTTGGTACGAAATTTCTAGCTAATGCACGACAATGCTCGTGCGTGAATTTCTAGAAACTGAGCATATCAATGTTTTGCCATGGCCTGCGCAGTCACCAGACCTTAATCCTATTGAACATTTGTGAGATTCAATGGGACGAAGACTTCTTCGTCAACAAAGGCAGTTTGACACAAGGGAACAGCTCTGTCTTTCTGCCCTATGGAATACTACGGACCAAATGGAAATTTATAACACACTAAAACCCCAGTTCCCTTTCGGACTGGTGGCTGGATAACCAACAAGTCACCAAGTGTCTCTACGGACGAGGCCACGTCAAGTCACCGAGCGTCTCTACGAGAAGAGCGCGGGCTGTCGTTGTCAAGTGGCTGTCTGTCCAGGAACTTTTTCGGTTGTGTTAAAAATTATTATTGCTTTTCATTTTTGTTACATGCTTTCTACGATTAAACTTGTTAAATAAACCTAGGTTTTCTTGATTGAACCCGAGGATAATTAGAAGCCTCATAAATTAACAATCTCATTTTCAGCATGCCCAATAGATACCGAGCTGTAATTAATGGACGGGGAGGTAACACTGCTTATTGATAGAGTACGAACAATCGAGAATTTTGTTTTTGTGAGATTTCTTGCATATCAAGTTATTGAGATTTTTATTTTTTTTTTCTATAATTGTTGAAATAATTTTTGTTCTTGTAAAATTTTGTTTTTTGTTGGTAGTGTTAAACGAACGTTAGTATCATCAATAGCCACACAAATTTTTAAGGCAATATATGGTGTCTCCAAAAAGTTATAACAATTTTTATTCTAGTTCCCTAGATTTTTTTGATGTGTGTATTTGTACGTAGTTACATATTTTGTTTGTTTTATTAGCCAAGTTAACATGGACTTTGAATATCAACTCCTTTTTTTCATGAATAACGTAAATGTAGTCAACACATTTTACACTACTTATGACAAATTTAATATAATGTTGCCGCTACGCGTCGCGCTGGCAACTTTCTGTCTCAAGCAGCAAAATATCACTTTTAACTCTTAATACACAAATAGCCATTTCAGTCCGAAAGACAAACGTTTTATTATTTCTCGAAAATAATTCAATTAGTTAACCTAACAAAAATAAACGAATACTTGTCAATAACCAACTATAAAATTGTTGTCTGATTTATTTATTCTAACACAAGCCTAAAGAAAAACATTTCAGTTATCACAGTTTTTTTTATATTTTAGTAGCTACTTTTTAACCATCCACTTTATAACTTTTATTTTTTGTAAATGGCGAAAATTCCAAAAATGATGTTTTTTAAGAGATGCCTAGTAATAAAGATAAAAATCCAGGAATTAAAGTTTGCCCGTATTGACACTCTGACGAAAAACAAAGCGACATATTGACTTGAAATAAACTTTGGCATTACCAGTGTCAATTGATATATCTACAGAGGTTGAAGTTTTTTTTTTGTGAAGCAGTCTGTGCATAGTATAATTTTTAAAGGAAAGGACTAGGACAATTCAATTATAATCACTATTAAAACAATTATTTATAATATTTTTTTAACTGTAATTCTATTTTACGATCGCTTAATTTTAATACTCTTATTGCCTAATTTTTGTTGTCTCGCTCTGTACATATGTTTCATTAGCGTGTACATGGCTGGGATCATAACGAATAATAAATAGATTCTAAGGAATGTAGCGAAGTGGAATGTGAAGTTCAGGGAATTTGGTAAAAACAATGACCACTTTCCGCTCTGTTCGACAAATATAAGATTTCTGAACAGTACTACACTTTCGCAGGCGAATCCGATCGGATAGAGAACTATCCAGGCGGTGTATCGAATCCATGTGAGGATTTTGTTTTCCTTTTTGTATAGCTGAGACATGTAAAAAGGATATCTGTAAACAAAAAAAATTGTTATAATAGAACTTAACGATTGGGAAAATAAAAGTTACCTAATAATTTCTATAGCGCTCCATGTCAAAAACAAATAAAACGTAACAGGCATCGCTTGAATTCTGGGTTCCTGATCCAAATTGACTATCAAAACAAACAATCTTCCAAATATTTGCAAAAATGGCATCATAACACCGCCTCTAACGTATCCAAATATTGGATGTAAAATTTCTAGGCACTGTATGAGCTGCATGAAGCAAATCACTGGACCTATGCTCTCGTAGACATTGGGGAAGAAATTCGAACCATCTCGAACGTATCGTATGCATAATATTGTCGATATGTACATAAAACCAACGTACATAAACAAGTTGTAGAATGTGAGGTAAATTTTCTTGAAATCCTCTAAAAAAAATCATTTATATACAATTCAGTTATTTGAAAAAACACTTGAAGGGTCTAAAACCAAAGACGGCAATCTCCATTTTTTGCGAAAATGAGTTAAACACCTAGAAAATATAGTTTTAAACACGCATAAGCGATTAAAATAAAAAACGCGAAACTATCCTTCAAAATCCCTTTAAAATTTAATGTTAAACTTCAGAGTGAGTTTCTAACCCGGCAATCTCCACATGCCAAAACCGTAAAATCCCAAAACGCCAATCAGGTTGCCGTATGACGTGATAATTTTTACGCTTACCACATTGTTTAGTTTTGCTGGTTTTGCAGAGTGCGAATTTGTTAAAGAATTACCAGTTGTTTTAATTTAACTTAATGAACATTCATTTATATTATCTGTTTACCTATTAATAAATAATAATAATAATAATATAAACAACCCTTTAGTATTTTTTAATAGTTAATTAGTTAATCTTGCAGATATTTAGAATCAAACAGACAATCTCTCAGAGTGAGTAGCAAAAGCAGCAATCTCTATTTCGTTCCTTATTTATTAAAATAATAATTTTTAGTATTTATACAAGTCAGCATAATTCTTTAACACCGATCAATATAAAAAAATTAATAACACCACCCTAAACCTTTCCAGGAACTTAAAAACAGTTTTTCACAATTATTATCCAAAATTCTTGAAAATGGAGATGCCACCTTTGGTTCTAAACCCCTCTCTTAATAAGAGCAATATTTTTTTCAACGATTGTTACAATAGAACAGAACTCTAGTATTCCGTTAAAAAATCAACGAACTACATTGTCAAAATCCTTACTAATATCCAGGTGAACTAACTCCCAGGGACATATTTACGTATGCGCTGATAGGGGCTATAGCTCGTTACTTTGATATTAAAAAAGAAAACAAACAAATCAACAGAATTCCCTTAGTGTTGACTCTAGATTATTTGGATTTGATCGACTCCTTCGCGTCACAAAGATCCCGAAGAAAAGTTATCAAATAGATAAAAGTAAGTCTAAATAGTTTACAGTATCTACTCCTGCTTTGTTTATTTATATCACATATTAAAAGTTTCATTTCTAAGAGTCTACCATGCATTTCCTCTGTAAAAATTCACGGTAACGCTGTTTTCTACTGCGCGACGTCTGAACATGTCGATTTTATGATAAGTACTATGTAATAAATATAATGACCCCATATTTCTTTTGCAATGCCATTGAAAGATCATTTGATAATAAACACGAAACAAGGCTTGACCGGCAGAGTTAATCCGGCGATCTATGAGTCCACCGGCTTCAACATGTCAAAATAACGAGGTTATGTTTTCTAATTATCGCATAATTAATTTTCGCAGAATTAATAAATACACTCGCCCAATCGATCACAGTGACCGCCAAATATAAAGCACCATTTTTTCAGTACAACAATCTGAATATGTCATTATTACAATGGGTGGTATGCTGATTACCAGATGTTTAAATTATTCTTTTTTATTTTTGAAATAAAGTATAAAATACACTAAAATATGTTACCGACAAAACTGCTATTGCAAATAAATAATAAAAATGATAAATCATTTACAAATTTACGATGCATGGACAGCGTACCTATCTTTCCCTACAAAAACGAAATGTAACGATTTTGAGCGAATGCTTTAACGAATCTGCCTCTTTTGACCCATGATACAATAAAAAGAAGGTATGATAGTTATGCCGATTGGTACTACGTTACAGTGACATATTGTGGTGTGGAGGCGTGGCTTTTACGAATTTGAGGTAAGTATCAGTTGATCGAAAACAGCGCGCGAAAATACATTTTAATCTGCTCATGAACAATCACATTTAGACATTTAGCTAATGGGCGCCAGCCGGTTTGACGCACGATTCGTGGCCTCTACCGTCCTTTCCTAGGGAAGTAGTTTTTTTAAAAAACAAATATTTTATTAATTTTGAATGGTGTTTATATTTTTATTTTTAGACTTTATACCTGTGTTGGAGTTTTTATAAAATCGGTTATTGGATTTTTTGAAAGACAAGTTACAAAACAGCATAAAAAAATCATGTAATGATTGCCATCAAATTTAAACTGAATTACTTTTTATTTGAATTATAAAGAGAAATTTATTGTGTGGATGGTTTATTTTAAATATTTTGGATTAGGGTACGGCCTCCGAGCTGAATTCGGATCACACTTTGTTTATATCCCGAAATATTTTGAAATTTTCCAGATATTCAGAGGATATCAAGTCCCAAACTTATGTTTCTTATTTCAGTTACTATAAACCTATAGTTTCAATGATAAAAATTCCTGAATAACCTACATGTATTGTAAGATAATACAAATATTTTAAACAATATTATTCAATAAAAGAAAAAAATTGTTTTCTTATCGGTCACCACGCTCAAAAAGTGTAAAGTGTAAATATCAAAGAAAAAACTGCATAAATAAAATAAATAATTATAATTGCATAAGTTGATAAAAAATGCTATGCAATAGATTTACCGCGGCAGTCCCTGAGTGCTACATATATTTTTTTTTCACTAATTTGGTACGTATATTTATAGATTATTATAATAAAATTGGGTGGTTGTCGATTGTTTTTTTTTTTAAGTAAATTATACTGTTCATACATCAAATAACCAAAAACTGACAAAACATATTTTTTATTTCTGACACTTTTTTCAATAATGTAGCCACTTTTCTTGCTTTTCTGTAAGAAACCATCTCTACTTTTAAATGTAGGGTGGACAAAGCTGCAATTAATGTAATAATAGTGAATGATATTTGAAGAATAATACCTGAAAAATCTTATCATTAGCCTTTAATTTCAGTTTAGGCTTCTAACGATTTTTGTGTGTAAAAAGTAAAAATTGTCTGGCAATAATAATACTACAGCTCGCTCCAGGCTTGCCAAAATTTCAAAATATTTCAGGATATAAACAAAGTGTGATCCAAATTCAGCTCGGAGGCCGTACCCAAACCCAAAATGTTTAAAATAAATCATTCCCACAATAATATTTCTCTTTATAATTCAAATAAAAAGTAATTCATTTGAAATTTGATGGAAATTATTACATGATTTTCCTTGCTGTTTTGTAGCTCGTCTTTCAAAAAATCAAACTACCGATATTATAAAAACTCTAACACCAGAACAAAGTTCAAAAATAAAAATATAAACACCACTAAATAATAAAATATTAGATTTTTTAAAAAACTAATGTATACCCTAAGTAAAATATTTTCTGTCAATTCACTTTTTCATTCCGTGACGTCACTGCGTCGTTAGCAACCGTGATGAGGCCACCTAGTTGTCTACGAATCGTGGGTTTGACGGGCCTCAAAGTCCTCCATTTGAGCAATTATCGTGTGAGTTTGCAGGTATTTACTTTATTAATATTTTAGGGAATGAAATTAAATATATCATGCATTCAATATAGACATTTCTTTTTTCTTATAATAGTCAGTAGTGATGATGAGGAGAATGAGATGGCAACCTAATATTTTTTTATTATTTTGTTATAAAAAAAAATATAAAAAATTACAAAACAACCAAAATCAGTGTACATAAATCATAATATGCAATTAAAACGAAATATGGAACACAGAATGGTCATTTAATGATTTGCTATTGTTTGTTTCTATAATATTCTAAGTGATTACTATTTTTTTAACTACTAAAAATAGTAATTAATATATCAGTATGTTTAAGATTTAATAAATATATAAATCTAAATTAAGTTACTGGTTATCAAGAAAAATTCAAAAAATTCTATTTAGCTACTGTATTTAAATTCAAGATAAGATATATTTCAAGTCATAGGTTCTAATCTTGGTGAAGATGAGGAAAGAAATAATCGAAAAACTGTGAATGCAATGAACGTGAAAAATGGTTTTATATTGTCAGTCAATTAAAGCAAATCTGCAAATTTCAGGGCATTTCTTCATAAGCTTACTAGAATATACTATAGTTATAGTTACCAGACCATTTCTGTATACAGTTTAAGTTACTTCCATGACGTCATATGTTACAAAAGCATGTAACTACTACTACTACTACTACTAAAGAGCACATTTAAACATATCGAGCATGTGTAAAGTGAAAAGAAATTTGAAGGGACCATAAAATTTTTTAAAATTTAAATTTCGTGATACTGTAAGCAAGTATGTTGTAATAAGATTATAAAGAAATGCCTTCAATTAATGTTGGTTTGTATTTTCAAGTGGTAAACAATTATGTAAAAAATTTGACTTTAGTTGTATTTTTCACTTGATAAAACTAAAATAAACTGTGATTTGCACTTCTGACAGATTAAAAATTAACCGACATTTTTTTTCCGTAAATATAATTTACTCGTAACATGGTCAATTTTAGCCATTTATGGATATTGGAAACACCTTATAGTTACACAGTGCTAAAATCTAAGTAGATGGCATCAAACACAACCTTGATCAATATCAGATTTCCAGTAATTTGGACAGAACAAGAGGTTGGTTTGTTTCTTTATTATGACGGATAAAGAAAAAAACTTACGAATCATTTTTGAAAGCCAAAAAACTTGTACACTCTTTACTAAAATTAGCTTAATGACAATAAATTTATATGGTAAAGACACAAACAGTAAATGTAATGATTATTTGATAAATAAAACACAGAAAAAGGTATGTAGAGAGATAATAAATTAGAAGTAACACTACTTTCTAATTTAATAATAGAGATAGCAAAGTAATTATAGTTTTTATAAAGGTGGTTGAAGATAATACATTGCTCAATAATTAAACCTTTTATCTAGTTTGGTGTTATTTTTATACATAATGTATTATCTTTGAGGACAGATTGTATTATCATTTTATTAAGAAACATCTATTATTTAAATAGTTATATTATTTATTTTATTTATAATCACCTATAATTAAATTACCGATTTTTGCTTTAGCTGAAAACGAAATATTTAGATTTATAAAAATTATGTATATAAATTAATACCATTAACAAA